CTGTTGATGCAGCCTAGAACTGTGTTGGCTTTTTTGGCAGCTGCTGCACACGGCTGGCTCCTATTTAAATGATGAAATATGGGAAGATATGGGAAGCTCCCAGTCTCCCACTGCAGCCTCTCGCTGACTCCACCTGGTTCCATAAATGAAACTTGAGTGGTTTCCTCCCCATCCTGAGCCTAGAGATCGAAACGTGATACGAGATGCCAAAGTCCCTTGCAGTCCTTCCTGTCATCGCTGCATTTCCTCCGATTCAGCCAAAGTCCTTTTCTCTTTTCTAAGACTCGGATCGGTCCTTGCCAGTGATCAGCGATTTCAGATTCCTGAGGAGAAAACTATTTGGGAACTGGCCTTGCCTTCGTCTCTGTCGGGATGTTTTTTCTGTGGCTCCAACTCCCTTTCCTTTCCCTCTTCCACTTCCTGTTTACGTCAGTCCAGCTGTGCGGTAAGTCTTTATGTTTTTTTATGATCAAGATTGTCAGGAAGTGGCTGTGAAAATGGATTGTCTGGTGTTCTAGGCTTCCTGGGACAGTAAAAACCACACGCTTAGTTCCCCAAAACCCTCTTTTTATTCCGACGGCTGTGAATTATGTCCATTCGCAGCCCGTAATGAGTCACAAATAGTTTGTAAAGAGTCCGGCAGAAGTCTGCCAAAGTCTTTCGGGATAAGGCTGATAAGCACAGAGTCAAAACGCAGCCGTCCACTCTCTTCTTAAAAGCTTCCAGTGTTGGAGCATTCACAACTTCTGGTGGCAAGTTGTTCCCCTGGTTAATTGTTCTCCACTGTCTAAGGAAATTCCTCCTTGGTTCCAGATTGCTTCTCTCCTTGGTTAGTTTCCACCCATGGCTTCTCGTAAATGAATCTGATTCCCCACTTGACTTTGCTTGCTAGAAGGACGCCAAAGGGGATGGCGTGACCTCGGGGCACACCAATGGTCATAAGTAGGGAACCGGTGGCCAAGCCTCTGAATTTTGATCACGGGATTGTGGGGAGGTTGCAAAAGGTAGCGACTGTGGAAAAACGAGCCTAAGCGACTCTTTCCAGTGCCGTTGTAACTTTGAACGGTTGTTAAATGAGTGGCCGTAAGTCGAGGACTGCCTGCAATTAGTAGGAGCTTTGTTCCCAGTCTCAAGCCCGCTTCTTCTTCCTTTCATCGTCTTTTAACGATGCGGGGTGGAGTAAGGGCAATTGAATGGAGCTAACAGTGTGTTGACTGGCCGGATGACTTTCCTGTTGCCAGTACGGAATCATATTCAGCAGATATATTCTCAGAGAGAGAAATATCTGCCTCTACCTAGGATCGAACTCACAACCTCTTGATTGTGAGGCGAGAGCTCCCCCTCTAGGCCACCGCACCACTCTAATACTAATTCTCTTTTTCCCTGGAAGAAATCCCTGCAGGAAACCTTGAGCTCATCCAGGCCCTGAATTCGGAGCTCCTAAAGGCAGTGGACGATGGGTCCCAGGAACCGGACCCGAGCCTCTATTTGGCCCTTCGACTTTCCAACGAGCACAACCTGGAGAAGGAAAGAGAGTATCTCGACCGACTGACGGGCGTCTATCAGCCTCAAAGCAGCCGGTAGGCGCAGTCTAATCCCAATCCAGGATTATTATTATTTTTCTTGAAAATTCTTCCCCCAAAAGAAGGGGGGAAAAAATGCCTAGAAATTCTCCTCTTTAACAGCTCCGGGATCCCTTTGGAGCCCAGCCGACGGAAGAAATCCGGGACAGGAGAGCTGGCTTTGTATCTCCTTGGGCTGCGGGCTGCTTGTCAGAACATGGATACCCCAGAGAGGAGCCGATTGGTGACCCAGTTGAAGCTTCTCTTGAATAAAGAAATGAAGCAGATCGGTAAGAATTAATTCCCCGATCCCAGTTATTTTTTACGGGGGTTTCCCCACCTGTTTTGATCCGGGCTTCCCCAAAAAGCAGGAGGCAGAGTCCGGGTCCCCACAAAACCCCTTTTACGAAACGAATGTGAATTCCCCTCCTTCACATTCAGCCAAGGCCTGGCAAACAGTCTTTCAAAGGAGTATTTATGACCACAGACCTTATCTAGCTTGGAAAGNTTGTCTCTATTATTTTATTGACAGATGGGAGGAAGAAATCAATGGACAGGATGTCTTGTCTGTTTGTTTTTCAAAGGAACCTACCAAGCGATTTGGCCAGCAACTTGGAGCTGGTTCTACACCTCCCATTGTCTTGTTTATAGGTTTATTTAATTGGGTGGCGTATGTATGGATGCATGGATGTCTGTTCCATTAATTACAATTTATTCTCTTTTTTTTCTTTTGATATCTCATTAAAATCTTATAAATGATCATGCAGTGACCTTGAAGGTGATGCATAATACATGAAAGTAAACCTGCAGTAAAATGTATTCTTTCACTCCTCACTGCTTTCATTCCACCTTTCATTCCCACCCACCCCCATCCCCGATGACCCCAATATGGGAAGCAGCCGAGCCAAGGTATGCAAGGGTGGGCAAAGCCACTAACGCCATTAGATTTTTGCTCTCCTGGTGACAGCTGCAATATGTTAATGGATGGTGCTTGGATGGAAAGGTTGCCGCTGCTACTTAAGGCGCCGTGCTAATTACCATAAGATGGTGATAACAGGTGCAAGTGTCACTTTGCATCAGTGTCAGCCGGCACGAGAAAAAGGAGCTTGCGGCGCCCAAAGGGAACTTGCAAAAAAAAAAACAACCCTAGATCCTCTGAAGAATTTGGCTATCGTAATGACCCATATGTCCACGAATGGGGAGAACAGCGCAAAGTTTGTGTGTTTTCTACCTCAAAATAGTGGGGAGCTGCGTTATGCATTTTCAGCAGTTGTTGTTAGAGGGGATTCTAGGGGCCATAAAGGAGAGGATTGTGTGTTGCCCAGTGCCCGCTTTACCTCAAGGAACAATCCCGCCTCTTATTTTACTATTAGGCAACAAGCTAGGATAGAACCTGCTGCCTCTTCCAATTACTAACAGTGGTTACATCAAGGATTACCTGTATAAAGGTGTCACAGCAGCCCTCAGATTTTGCTACCTGAGATTCTGATCTCACTGTCCTTCAACACTACTACTACTACTACTATTACTACTACTACTACTACTACCTCCTTCTCCTCTTCCTACATCTCCCTCTTCTTCCTCTTCCTCTTCTTCTTCTCCTCCGCCTCCTTCTTCCTCTTCTTCCTCTCCTCCTCCTCCTCCTCCTCCTCCTCCTCCTCCTCCTCC